TCCGCCAGTTGGGAGAAGAAAACCCCTCTGTATCCGCTCCAAGCCAGGCTAGGAAAAACAAACCCTGTGTCATTCGGGATGGGCTTAATTTGGTTCAGGGAGTTGAGTCCTGTGGAGAGACTGGTGGTAAGTTCGAAAGCACTTCCCAGCCTTAATGGGCCCTGTTTAGTTATCAAAGAGCCCTTCTCAGGTCATGGCAGCTTGACAGCAGGCGGGGAACGGCCCATGCTGTGCAGCTCTAGGGTGGTCACAGACAACAACTCTTCTCTGCGGCCATGCCACACTCACAAATGTCGGCTGCCAATGAAACCTTTCGTTTTCGCTGTGGATTTGTCCACGTGGAGAACTGATTCTGGAACACAGCAGGGGGTGAATCCAAATAGCTACAGCTATTCCAGAAGAAGGGTGTTCACACCGGACACTACTCTGCAGTGGTTATTCCAGTCAATTTCCCCATGTAGACAAGGCCTGCCTCTTGCTGTTTGCAGGTGGGCCCTTTCCAGCTGCCTCGCCAGGCAGGATGGCTGTGGCACTTCCTAACAATCTCAAATGGCCTGGAGTCTGGGCTTGTTTCACAGACGCACCTGAGGATTTATTATTCTTTATCTGTATTATGGTTGTGCTGAAATGCCCCATGGGAGCAACACCAATTTACAGCAGCCGCGAATCTGGCGCATTGGCTCCAATGGACAGTGCCAACTTACACAAGTTGGGGATCTGAGCCCACTGATTCCAATGGAGCTGTGCAAATTGACATGAGCAGGGGATATGGGATGAGCTCTATAAACAAATCAGTCCTCATAGCTGGTAACTTTGGGCTTCACATGTGTTTGTCTTTTATCCCTTCAAAGCCCAGCTGTGTGCTGGGTCTGCCGCATTTTGCTACTGATCAGGGCACTAAGGCCTTGGCAGCAGCAGCAAGAAGAGGAAAACTAAAAAAAAACCACCATAGCCATTAAAGGAAACGGTAAAAGAGTGCAATGGCTGCTGTTAGAACGAGCTGAAAGAGACTGAGCAGGCAGGTAATAAGTTCTGGCCTTAGCAGATGACTTCGTTCTGGAACAGGAATGGGTTCCCCCTCCCATACCTGCAAAGTTGTGTCACCTTCTCCTTCAGTCTCGCCATCAGTATATATCACTCTTTGCCTTGAGGTCTCCTTCCTCCTTGTCTTCCTCCCACTATAAACCCAATTATAAATATCCTCCTCAGCACAGCTCTCTAAATAAACCAAAGGAACAGCCTGACAATGAGGATTGCTTGAGTGTCAGCATATTAAATTCACTCACTATGGCTAGGAGGACGGGAAAAGAAATCCCACCATTCATTTCTCTTATTGATCTATAATACCACCCCGAACTCTGCCTCTATAGCTATAGGAATGCAGCTCCATGCTTTCCATTCAGCCACCTGACTCAGACAGCACGGAGATTGATTCAACCGCATTCTCTTTTTCTCCTGCCTCAAGCATTTATGCTACAGGAGGAGGGGGGATAAATAACATCTTGTATGTTACACATTAATATATATTTTAAAAAGTGTTGGAGGATCAAAAATGGGATATTGATTAGACAGCAGGACAGGATAAGAGGAGGTTTCTTTAAGGAGGAAGGCAGTAATTCTGATGCCTATCACGTTGAGGGGAAAACTGATTTTAGAAATGGAGATGGCATAGTGGGTACAGTATCTGGGCACGTTCTGTGCACAGGGCAGATCGTCACCTTTGTCCAGGCAGACATAGCACTGCTCCACTATGCACAGTGCTGAAGCAAATCTGACACGTACATAGATTTGGACCCTAAGAAAAACACTGGGAAGGAAAAGGTCTTAATTTCATCCTGCAGGTGGATCTTCTATCTCCTCAGGGCTTCGGGAAGCTGTATTTTCTTGTCATTTTGACGTAGAGCTGACAGAACAAACGTAGCACTGCGCCACATACAATGGGTCAGGCAAAATTTGAGAGGCGACTTGTTAGGAATACTGGGAGCCACTTGATTTCATTGCAGCTCTTTAAGAGCAAGGCTGGATGACTAGCAAAGGATGGGACGCATACCACAGGCATAAAGCAGGGTGGCTCTTCTCTGGAGAGCCCAGATTACAAGGGACAATCCTGACAGATTCACACCTTAAATCAGGTCCTGTTATCCTAGATCCTTGTCAGCCAGAAGACATCCTGCTTAAGATTGTAAGCTCTTCGGGGCAGAGACCATCTTTTTGTTCTGTCTGTACAGCTCCAAGAACAATGGGGTTCTGGCCCAGGACCATACAGTACAAATAAATAAATAAAAACCTTATCAGGCTTGGGTGGGGAGATTATTATTAAACAATTTCCATTATTTTCAGTCCCACTTTGCCACTTACTCCTGGGAGACTCACTCACTCCTTTTGGCAACCGCGAGGCAGATTCAACTCGCAATGGAGGCCCAAGAGCTGCTTGTACTAGGAGGTTAGCACTCTGGCACGGTCCCCTTTCAGACCTTGTGCTGCTCACAGCAGGGATTAACTCCCTCCATCTGTGAAAATCTCACCACCGTCAATCAAAGGAGGCAGGCAGGAAATCATAGGCAACATTCTCCTCCACTCTACAGAGCAGCAATCAGCGGCAATACGGGAAAAACCTAGCCTCTCTCCAGACGCTCTTTCTCTGCAGCCAGCTGTTTGAAATGGCCCCCTGCTCTGACACAGGCAGTTTAACTAATATGCTGACAATGTGCTGACCAAAGGCACCCAGTCAGAGGCCAGATTCATCCCTACTGTGATTATAACTGAGCCCTAGTTCGCCTGCAGACACTAACCCCCAGGAGTTAAATGGAATGGTAGAGAGAAGGCAACAATTTCACTCATCCCAGCCACCATCTTTGGTGGCACACCCCCAACCAGCTTGTCACCATCATCTTTACTGGATTATTTACTGCACCGCTCTAGGCTCAGCTATCATAGTCCTCTCACAAAACCTACTGCCCCAGGGAGCTGATCGCCTTCCTCATCGACTTCTGCAGGAACAGAATCAGGCCCTAAGTAGGCAATTTCTGCTCCAAAATGAGCATAAAAATCTAATCGCTTCAATTACCCCGACAGCAAAGAAGCTGATGCAGAGTGCTTTGTGGCAATGATTAGCAGCATTTAACAGAGCCATTTATAAACTGACAGCCGGTCACAGCGTCAAGTAAATAATCATAATGTTGGGTTGGTTTCTTTCTTTTTTTTTTGGTATAAATAGCTCTAACCATCTCCTCGATGCGCTAGTTTAAAAAACATTAAAAGCAAGTGGCCATCAATCTCCCTCTGAAAATGCCACAGCGAGAACAACAAAGCCGGGGCAGGGAAGGGGAGAGCTGGGGAAGGGCTGCATGGGCTGATGGAAGTGATGACTGGAACAGCAGAGCCACCATTAGGACCCTTGGCTGGGAATTCCGAACCTGTAAAGACACTTACCCCTCTCCCCCGATGACTGGCACATGAGAACCACGGGGGCTTCACTGCAATGGAACTGAACCCATCTAGTGGCCTAATCACCGGACCATCCCTGCTCTTGCTCCTATCTGTACACTGCCATTTCACAGCTTCTTGACACACCACAGGAAAAGCCAGGAGCCTAGGGCCCAGCTGGTCTAAGTGGGTCTCTCCATGGATGTCAATTTACACCAGCTGAGAACCTGACCCTGGTTGCGTGAAGCTAATCAGGGCAATGTTGCTGTCGATACCTGATGGCCTATGGCTCAAGATTTGGGCTAAGAGCTTTTAACTCAAGACACCCCATCATATGATGGATCTTTTTAAAGAGGACAGGGGTTAGTTAGGATTGCGAAGGCAAATTCAGACTAAGAATGGGCCCCGTGACTATGCCAACAGCACTTCCTACCTCTGAAAACAGACAAATCAAAAGTTCAAGCAACCAGATTTGTTGTTCCAATAAGATACACTAGATCCCCTCTACCCTGTGATCTCCACCTACTCCCCCCTACTTCTGGATTGCACGTTCCCTGGGCTTGTCAGTTGCATAGCTTGTGTCTGCCATGGTGGGATTGTGGAAGCTCAATGCCTCTCAACTCAACTGCGGTGCTGTACAGGACAGGAAGGGTCAAGGAGCACCTACCCATGCACTGGGTTCTATGGGACACCTGGCCAAAGGCATCACAAGTCCCAGGGAAATCTGAGCATCAGCTTTCAGGATAGGCTGACCAGACGGCAAGTGTGAAAAATCGGGACAGGGGTGTGGGGGGTAATAGGAGCCTATATAAGAAAAAGCCCCAAATATCGGGACGGTCCCTATAAAATCAGGACATCTGGTCATCCTATTTCAGGAGTCCACTGATCTTCTGCTCTGCCAAGTCAGCACCATTGGGCACATCACCACTTGTCAATGAGTCCTACCTCCTGAAGGGCTGAATCAGCAGAGGGCCAGTGGGGTGATTAACATCAGCAAATGCTATGGGATGAGAGTCAAACCCATAGAAATCTTTCATAGAGCGGGGGGAACAGGAAAGAAAAGATATACAGGAGCATCAAAAACACAAACAGAAAGAGGAGGAGGGATCAGGAAAAGGAATGAGTTGAGATGAGGCTAGAAGAAAGAGAGGGGAGATGGGGATAAAGGAAAGCAAGATACAGAGACGGTGATAGATCAAGGCAAGGGATAGCTGCTCATCCTCCCTGCTCCTTTCTCCCTTCAACTCGGATGTGAAACCCCTCAGTGCTGCCCTGGAGATTGGAGGGAGACCAGCCATCTAACCACCCACTCTCCCATGAATGCCACAGCATGTTCAGCCCCTGCACCACTCCCACATTTCATTTTAATTTTAGCAAATATTTCAGAAGAGAGAACCCAGAACTCCAGGGATTTAGCTGCAGCCCGTACAATGGAAATTCACAGAGCATCGCAGCCTATTGCTCATTACAGGTCCGCGAGTCACTGTCTCCGTAACAGAGAGGAGGCAGAGTAAAGGTCATTAGATCCATGCATATTTAATTCTTGCTGCTTGTAGACTAGCATTAAGACATACCTTGGCTTTATTGATTGTGCAGTGGAGAGCATTGTTTTCTTGGTCGTACAGCAAACTGAAATCTAGTGTTCCCAGCGTCGCTGAAAAAGACAAAAGAGCCTTGTTAACTTGAGCTACCCAGCAAATGCTGTTTTTACTCTCACTAAATGGGAATAAAGTGGAGGGCTGCTGGAGAAAGGGACCCAGGAAGGTGTGAAACAGCCTGTAAACTCAGGGCCTGATTGTCAGAGGTGCTGACCAATCCTAGGTGCCACTGAACTCACCATGGGTGCTCAGCACTTTTGACAATCGGACCAGACACGTACAACTCCAAGGAGCAATTCACAAAACTCCCATTGGTTTCAATGGGACCAGATTGGACACTAGCACATGCATCACTAGAGAGACGGATGCTTTCAGCCACCCACGCCCAGGGCCATGGACATCCTCAGCTGGGTCTAGGAAACTGAGCTCCCGCTCTCATGAAGCGGGCTCCCTTACAGGATGGCTAGTCACCCCTGCTGGACTAGGAATAAGTCCCAACCCTTCTCTCCTGTAACACTGCGTATTATGGCACAAGTTCAACCCACGCCAAGCGGGCACAGGACCCCTCCGTCGTAATGGGAGCTCCGCCCACCTGTGCCATGGCTGAATTCGGCTAACATAATGCAACTTCTAATTTTCCACCCATTTTATTCCCCCCACTCCTGGCAGCCTTCAGCTCCTGCCACCCCAATTCTACTCCTCACTCCCCCCCACAACAGCCCCCACCTCGGCAGGTTCCAGCCACCCTGCAATCCCACTCCTTGGCAGGCTTCAGCTGTCACCCTCACCCCACCTTCCTCCCAGGCTCCAACAAGGAGCCAGTTCCACTGCCTCCCCCAATCCCATGTTCCACCCAGCCGCACTCCCCCCAAGGGGAGGCTTCTGTGCAGGAGGCAAAGAGGGGAGGCACCCTGCTGGGATCCCCCCACCTTACTGCAGTGTAATGGGGAGAGAGGGCAGCTGCTGCTGAGCTCAGTGGCAGGGACAGCTCCGCCGTGCCCTCGCTACTGGAGGGTGCCCTGCTCAGAGCAAACAGGGACTGCGGGCAGCAGCTACCACAGCCCCTTGCTCGACAAACAGACTTTAGCGGCTGAAGCAGGAACTGCAGACAAAATCCCCGTGGCCGCTGATTGCCAGGCAACTCCCAGACCATGACAGTCTTGCTGTTACCGCGAGTGCCGAGCGAGTGCCATGGGAACTGGCTCCAGCCCTTGACAGGACACCGGATGTACTTTCAATTTAGGTCAAGGTGCCTGGATATTACAATGCAGGACAGCTAGTGAACACGCAAGACAACAACAAACAATCATTCCCGACTCATGGGAGTTGGTGGGCTAGCAAGCACACCCTTCCACCCTCAGGGAAAGAAAGATGTGCTTTACCATTGCATCGCGAGGGCTGGCAGTTTGCAATTGACCAACAGCTATGGGAATTTGCTTGCTTTGTTTGGCCCCAAGCATTCCTTGCCGCTGAGAAAATGGGAGACCAGCTGATAAAACCGCAGAGCTGTCATTTGCAATCGCTCAGAATAATGAGTGAAACCCAGAATAACCTTGGCTGCACAATGGCTTCAACAGTCGGTGTAGCAGATGGATGCAAACTAACACCCATGACAGCGACTGCCTTTGGGGAAGCCCGATCCTGCTCTCACTTCCCCCTCCCTTTGCAACCTCGCTGGCCTCATCTACTCCGAACACTTTCTCACCAGCCACCTCCTAACACTGCTCTTTTTCCAGCTGGGTTTGCCATCGCTGGGGCCCATGAAAAGAAAATCACTAAGGTTTGTCTACACTGCATCTGGGAGCAAGCCGCCTAGCCCGGGGCCAAAGACTTGTGCTAGCAGGGCTCCCGCTAGCATGCTAAAAATAGCTATGCAGACATTGCGGCTCGTCTCCCCAGGCTTGGCTCCAGCCCGAGCCGCAACTTCTACACAGCCATTTTTAGCATGTAAGGCAAGCCCTGCCAGCACAAGTCTGTAGATCCGAGCCAGAGGCTTGCTCCCAGACGCAGTGTAGACATACCTTCAGGGATCAGGCCTGCACAAGGGGCCTTAGCTGCATTAAGGGTGCTGTTGCCTTGACCACTGATCCCCATTTTATCAACCACAAGCGGCATTAGGAACCAGCAAGGGCAGCAAATGCCCAGCAGTGCTGATAAATGGACAATCTCCTGGCTTCTCAGTCATGCAATCCAAAGCCTTCTCCTTCTAGAAGGTCAGAGATCTCCCAGTCTTTAGGGAGAGGTTCTGTTCCAGGCCTGTCTCTAGACAGCAGCTTTCATGTGTTGAGATTTGCAGGGTGTGGCTCTTGGATCACCAATTACTGGCTCCCAGGGGCAACAATAACTGCAGGTGATAGGTAAAATCCAGAACAGGCATGAGCAGCTGCAGCTCCAGGGACTTCAGTAAGGCTCTTTAGTGCGGTCAAGCAGCTCTCAGCACAAGTCCACGTATGCCTGTGCACGTGTGTGCATAGAAGCTAAACCCCCCTTTGCACATCCCCCTTCCCCCAGTCCTGAGGCCACCTGAGAGCTGGGCCAGTTTCCAGGGTAAATTAGAGCAGCCAATGGGTAACCACATTGCTTACAGCCCTAAGGTGCTGTTCTGACAGCCAGGGCTAGCCAAAGGATAAGGATGCCCTGGCCTCACCCCCTTTTCCCAGCCACCCTGTGCCAGTGGAAGGGAGGGAGGGCCCTAAGGGTAGATACGGTGGCTTCATACCACCCGAGGATTCCCAGAGGCTGGGGCGACCTGTAGCCAATCCTCTGGGGTTAAGGCCGCTCAGGCACACCAGCCCCAGCGTAGTCCTAGTGTGCAGAGGGGGGCCCAGGTCTGAATGAAGCCGGGCACCTGGGAAAGCTGCCCTGCACACAGGGGTAACATTGCTGGGCATTTCTGTGCCGCTGTGCTCCCAGATTCCAACCCAAACACCACGGTTCCCACTTTAATTCTGCAGAGCCAAGAGGCTTCGATAAGCATTCGAGAGTCTGAGAGCTCAGCACAGCCAAAGCTCTCCAGTTTCCCAAACGCTCTGTGCTCTATTTCATCCAATCTAATCTCCTCTATCAGTCTAGCTATCTATGAACCCCTCGTGCTCCCATCACCCGAGTCTAGTTTCTCTCACTTTGAGGTTTGTCCTGGGGAAAGATGTCCCACAGATTTCTGGGCAGCTAATGGGTAATTATGGTACAGTGAATGGGGGGTAATTTCCCCCCCAATCTGTTCAGTGAAAGTTTTGTTCTGCAAAATCCAGACTGGAATTCCTGGGATCTCGAGGTCATTTATCCACATCTCCAAGCTGGGAGGGTTTGGATAAACCGTTCTGATTTTGGCCCATCACTAGAATAAATAACTATCCCCGGGTGAGTTTTCGGAGTGCTCCTGCCATACAAACCTCCCATGCACATGCTCTCCAGCCCTAGGCATAGGAGATGCACTTGAATCTCTGTACCTTTCTGGTCCCTGTAAGGCTCCTCCTGGCCTGTCTCCCCCAAACCAAGTCTCTTTCAGGCCCTCCTCTCAGACCACGGTTTATAAATTCAAAACACCCAACACAGCTATCCCCTCTGAAACACAGGGGCTCAGAGACCTTGCCCTGTGCAGCCCTATCTGCTCCAGGGCCAGCCACAGAAGCAAACCTCCCTCCAGCAGCTCCCCCTTCAACTGAGTTCTCTCAGCCCTTTATAGGGATCACCTAACCCGGGGGGCAGGGGGGGCGGGGGGCAATAATTTTCACAGGGGGGCCACTCCACGAATTGGGGTAAGTCATCACGGGCTGCACATTTCTACTATATAAATGGAGGGGGTGCAGGGGCTGGGAGGGAGTTTGGGTGCAGGAGAGGGCTCCGGGCTGGGGCAGGAGGTTGGGGTGCAGGAGGGGGTTCTGACCTGGGGCAAGGGGTTGGGGTGCAG